TTAGATGGGGGAACCTCCCTCATATCATGTAGGACACCACACATCTCTGCAACTATAATAATATATATATATATGTATATATGTACACACACACACACACACACACAAAGGATAAAGGATAAAAATTTCAAAAGGAATTTTGTAAACTTTCTTCTTCTTCTTTTTTAAAAAAAATAAAAATAAAAACTTACAATAATTAATTATAACTTTCTCCTTAGTAATAATATAAACAATTTTTAACCCCAAAAAAAAAAAATCAAATTTTTAATGATAAAACACATGAGAATATAATTTACTTCAAAACTACATTTTTATAGAAATAAGTGAATATATCAATAATTAATTGTTAATTTTTAAAAAAATATAACTTGAATATTTTGATTAAGCATAAAAAAAGAAAAGAATATAATTAATTGAAATTATAATAATTGGAATGTAGTGATAAGTTAATAAAAATAGAAGAGGTTGGAGGAGGGTGTGTGTGGGGGTCGGGGAACTGCTAAATTCAGAGAGACTGATACAAACTTTTGTCATCTGAGAAGCAGACACAAGCAATAATGGCCGGATTTTGTTTCATCAGTTTCAACCAGGCCCCCCCCACCCCCCCATATATATATATATATAAAGTATATGTGTATGTAGAGATGTATATATACATTCCCAATTATTATTATCATTGATCTTTACTACTTTTCCTTCCATTCTTTTGTACTATTGCTTCTCTCTCTCTCTCCCTCTCCCCCTTGGTGTTAAGGTTTTTGAATTTGTTTTGTTTTGTTTTTTTACTTTTTATGTTTCATCTGTCACATCTCCCCTTCAAACTTTCTATTACTTCTTGCTTATCTATCGAATGAGTTTGGGTTTGGGTTTGGCTTCTTTTAATACAGTAACCGATAGTTATATATATACATATATAATGTTTGTTTAATTATGTTATTTTTCATATTTACCCGACACGTGAAAAATACATGAAGAAACTAAACGTTTAATCATGTGAATATGCATGTGTATAAATCTGGATTATAATGTATCCGCTAGATTTTGGTTTATGATTAATTAGAAAAAGGATATATACATGGAATGTTCTGATGAGAACAGCTTTCAATAATATAATACAAGGAAGGATTATATGAATCTGTCTATTAAGTTTGTAATTACGTGAATAATCCATAGTCTTATATTATTAATGGGGTCTGTACGTCAAAATTCTTTTGACAACGTGAATTTTTCTTTTTCCTTTTTTTTTTTTTTATTAAGAAAAAGGAAGAAATATTATTCCATAAGATGGGTAAATATTTAAAGAGACGGTCAACGTAGGAAATTTAGAAAGTGAATGTATGCGTATATGTGTAAAAGGGTATAATGGTAAACACACTTACATGTATATATATATATATATGTATATGTATATGTAAAATGTTTGTTAAAAAGTAATACTAAGGGATGGTTTAGGGTGGAAGTTCGATTAATTTTCCGTTTTGGGTAGTCAAGGCCACGTTGCCTTATTTGGAAGGGAGACAACAAGAAAGTTAAGCACATCCTTTTTCGATCGCTTTAAAACCAACAGACAGCTTAACTTCCCTTTTCTCTTCCCTCTCTCTCTCTCTCTCTCTCTCTCATAAACATATATATATATATCTAATGTGTATATATATATATATACCATACTTGGTTCAATTACCTAAGAATTCATTCATAAATACTTAACTTTATTGAATTATTATATGAGATTGTAGATATCAATGAAATTTTGTATCTTTTTATTCAGAAATTATGGATATATGTATTAATTAATTAATTAATAAAAAATATATAATTTGAAAATAATATTAAGTTAAAAATTCATTAATAAATAAATTCACATAAATTCATATTAAAAGCTGCAATTAGGTTAAGAAATATCTCAAAGCTTACATTTAGTACAAATTGTTTCGTTATAACGTATAAAAAGTTGCAGACTTATTGGTTGGGGCTTTAAAGATGGAGATTTACTTAAATTAGAGACATACCAAAATACGTCTTGATACACAAGTGCATATTCATTTCCAAAATGGAGAAGTAACATTGACTGGGTGTTAATTTTACTCTAATATACAAGAGCTTATTTACTTATGAAATAAGAAGTTAGGAACCTTCTCATGTGTTATTCATAAAATAATTCTATAAAAATTAGTCTAAAAATTCTACAAATACATAAATCCGACATGATTGTCTCTTTAAGTATGAACTCGTCTAGAAATCCCACTTGAATTTCAAGTATTTTGCTACTAATGCATGGTCCCCCCAAACTCATATTAGACAAATCATATATAACTATGTGGATAAAATTAGAGTATAAAATAAGGATAACTTTTAGGCATATAAATCACATTAAAATGCACCTACAAACTAAGATCTTAGATATTCCAAAGTATCTCCAACATAAGCACTCGCATCTCTTCACTGGACTCAAACACAAATTGCGTTCAACTCAACAATCTTCTCTTTAAGGAAGAGGTCTTTTAATTTTAAAAAATTTGAATGTAAAAGTTTCGAATGGAAGATAGAAACAAAAGCTATTATCGCAAAAAATATAGTCCATTTCAAGCCAAAGATGAATATATCATATTATGGACCATGAGGGATAGTGAATAGAGGAACTTTCGAATATTCAGAGTTACTCAAAATTTTTACCATAAACTTTGTTTTTGGAGGAGGAAGACCATAAACCTTTCCTTATTAGAGAGACTACTCTTTTTAGGATTCACCTTACATTTTTGTTTTTTGTATTGAAAAGTTTGGCCATATGATCCATTATTGGGTTACCACTAGCGAGTGAAAATCACTAAAATTTTAGTAGCATAACTCTATCTTATCTCATTTCTTTTTTATAAATGACAATATTATTTGTCGAGATTTCTAAGGAGTAGATGATTATGATAAAAGGTGTTTTAACCTCTTCACTGCTAGTTCTGGATTAAAAAAATTCATCTTTCTATGTCTATAATTTCTTTAGTACCATTCCTTCCACGAATAACGTCGGTAGGTATAAGTGTGTTGCTCATCTATATTAGGATTACCAATACTATGTACTAGGTGATTGTGGATCGGGTTAAATCTAAACGCTAATTAACAAATTTTTCATATTTTTATAATTAAGAGGATCACCCTAGCTAGATCTATTGTGTTGACTATTCCTACATATATTGTGCAATTAATCCTACTACTTAACTCAATTATGACTATATACATAAACTTACTAGAGATTTATTTTGGGGTCTCGCATAGAGTATATGAGAATTTCACTCATTAAGTGGTCTCGTCTCTGTCACGCTAAGGAAAAAAGGAATTGTGAATAAAAAATATAATGACCTAAAATGGGGTATTTTTAATTTAACTTGGCTGACAACTCTTTTAACGGTAGAATAGGCTCTTGGCCAACATCTTGAAAGCTAAATATTTTCCAACCAAAGATGTTTTTAACATTGATCAAGCTACTTAGAATAACTCAAGAACTTGGAAAAAGATGATCAAGTATATCCAAGTGATGAAGGATGGATTAGATGGAAGGTTCAATATGGAGATAACATCAAATTCTAGATTGACATGTAGCTCATCAATCGCCTACTTATCCTTTATAGTAGCAAAAATAACCCTGACCACCACTTTGGAAAGAGTGTTTCCTCCTTCATCAATTCGTATGGTGTTTATAACTAGGGAAAATTTACGAGTTTGCTTTCTACTAAGATTTTTCTTAAGATTGCCTGGATGTGTATTAAGTCGGAAAGTAGAGACTAGATCATGTTAAGTGATTCGAGTGATGAGACCTTTTTTGTAAAATCCACTTAAGAATGTCTTACCACGGCCATCATTACTACCCCTGGTACTTACTGGAGAATGCTTTAGACTCTTCTTATGCTTAAACGTGCTCGACAATTTATGTGGCTCCTTGCATCTAACGGACTCTTGATTAAAGCTGAAAGACTTCGAAGTCACTTCATAAAAAGATCAATGTTGTCATTATAATAATGTTAGAGAGGATATTCTTCATATGATTAAGGACTCTACTATGTCACATGAGGTATGACGGGTTTGTGGTTAGTACAACAGTGGCAGGTGGCCTCATCAGATATAAGGAAGGTGTTTAAATTATTGAATTCATGTGCAACGTTAACTAGAGCAACCCTGTAAACACTAAGTTGCATGGTGCCCTTGTTGGGCTTCAGATTACATAAGAGGTTAGTATCAGAAACATTATCGTTAAGGTTGACTCTCTCTATATCAAACTCTAGATGGAGAATAGGATCGATAACATGTCTCCAAATATTTATGATGAGTGCCACGAGACCTCTATTATCTTAATTCTCCTCGCTTGGCCTCTTGATGACTTAGAAATCTTTCTTCAACTGAATTGTTGCATAAACCCGCATGATGGGGCACTAGTATCCATTTGTTTTAATTGACTTTCTTTTTTTTTCACTTTATAGTTTAAAAAAAAGTGTTATTAATTTTTTTTTTTTTAATTGAATATTAAAGACGGAAAAGGAAAGAAAAATAGGCTCATAAGAAAGTACAAGTGGAGTTGAGAGAAACTCTAATAAATAAACTTTTTCACTTTTACATTATGTTGATACTTTATCAATGAACAGAAGGTAGCAAAAATGGAGAATCTGGATCATCCATCACCGAGGCTCTAATCAATGCAAATCGTGTGTGTAGTAGAAGAAGAAGAAGAAAAAGGTACGATCAGAGGTTCTGTCTCAGGCGATGTTGACTTCAAATCTACCTCACCATCTTCAACAACATAATGATGATCATTAGTCTTTTCTTTGCCTTCCATGGCGTTGACAATAATCATACTATCAGACCCATCTCCTGCTTTTTCTGATATTGGTAGTATTTGATTTGAAGAAGAAGCAGAGGTCTTCGTCAGTTTTCTTGCTCTCTCAACTTGATCAATCCAATCTGTTCTGCACAGAACACACAGCATGAGAAAAGCACAGCACGCCTGAGCTGCGAGCAGGCCAAGCCAGAGTCCGGCGAAGCCCATTTTGGCTATGAATCCGAGCAAGATCGAAACGGGCATTCCCACAAAGTAAAACGACCCAAGATTGATGTTGGCTCCTGTCGTCGGTCTCGCGCTTCCTCTGAGCACGCCGCAGCCGGTGGTTTGCGGGCAGTTTCCGAGCTCACAAAGCCCAATAATCGGCAATGCAATGGCCGTGAGCTCCAAAATTTCGGCGTCGTCGGTGAAGAATCTCCCCCATTGGTGCCTCATCAAGGTGGTGAAAGACAAGGCAATTAAACCCAAACCCACTGCGCAAATAAGCGAGATAATCATGGAAATTCGAGCTTTTGCAGGTCTATTCGCCCCCAGCTCGTTCCCAACTCTGGTGGATACGCCGAGGCTGAGTGAAGACGGGAAAACATAGACCAGAGCAGTTGTCTGAATAAGGATTCCCATTGAAGCAACGGTGGCTTTGGGGTTAACCAAAAGTCCACACATCATTATCATAAGCTCGTACCACCACCATTCCAGGCAAACAGAGACGCAAGTCGGCACGGCGAGAGCGAGCAAAGAGGACCATCCACGCAGACAATCCATACTTGGACAAACCCACGAAGGTTTATACACGCCGGAGAAGTAAACGAAGGAAGACAGCAAGATAACAAGGTTGAGATTAGTCCAAACCATGGCCATGGCTACCCCTGCAATACCCATCTTGAGATGGACCACAAGAAGGAAATTTAATGGCACGTGAAGAAAAACAGAGATGGCTGTACAGTAAGTGACTGGTAATGTGATATTTTGAGTCCTGAGGTAGATTCGAAGTGGGTGGAGAAGAGAAAGGAAGAAGAGGTCAGGGATGGTGAAGAGAATGTAAGTGTGTGCTACTGAAGATATTTCCTGGTCTTGTCCGCACCATAACAGAATTCTTTTCATGTTTATCCACATGATAGAGATGGGAAGAGAAGAGGAGATGAGGAGGAGAACTGTTCTTTGTAGAGTTATACCGAGAAGCTTCCATTGTTTGGCACCGTAAGCTTGGCCGCAAATAGGTTCCATTCCCATGGCCAAGCCGGAGATGACAGAGTAGCCAGTGATGTTGGCGAAACCGATGGAGAGAGAGCCACCGGCGAGTTCAAGCTCGCCAAGGTAGCCGAGGAACAGCATGGAGATCAGAGCTCTTGAATATATAAGTAGACCCGCCATGGCCGTTGGTCCTGAGATCTTCCAAATGGCTTTGGTTTCTTCCACTGCCTGAAAAATGCAAAAAGAAAAAAAGAATATCACTATCAAGACACTGTTCTTATGTATAATATGTAATAATAATAAAAAAGGCATGTTTTGTTATGTCCTCTACATAGATAATACATATTATATATGTATATAGATTATAGATATACCTCAGAAAAAGTTGGCCATCTATGAAGCTCTTCTTGATCAGTATCAGAGAGATGATCCATGGTTATATCCGGATTTGTGAAATGGGTTTTATAAGAGGAGATAAATGAAGAAGGAGAAGAAGGCTTTGGGTTACACATATATACTTATATAGGTGTATATCTATATTATAGAGAAGAAAGAAAAGAAGGATATATGGTAGTAGCTTGTTTATAAGGTTATACGGATAGAGAGAGAGAGAGAGAGAGAGAGAGGTTTTCTGGATGAGAAAAAAAGAATGCAAAGGCTGCCTGTGTTTGTGCCTAAATGCGGTTTGTTTGTTTGGGATGTCTTGAAACAAGGGTGTTACTTATTTATACATGAAGCCATTGGGGCCTACACCAAACGTGGCAGTAATTCAAAGAATGAAAAAGCGTAAGCTAGGAAAGAAAAGAAAAATGCTTGAAGAAAATGGAAAGATGAACCGAACCGTCCATATGTTGAGAAGGTTAGTCACTTTTCGTGGAGAATAGTAGAGTGTAGTAGTGCCCTATTAATTATTCTTCTTGTTCAGATAAAAGAATTGGGTGGGGTTATTTTATTATTAATTTATTATTTATGTTATTTTTATATATATTAAGCTGAAAATAATGATAATAATAATAATAATAATACTAATTTGAAGAAGAGACGGTGAAACACAGGATGGATGATTGGGAGGGAGGCTTAATTAAATGAATTGTTTAGAACCGCCATGGTAATTTTTTTCCCCCATGAAAATTGTGTTTTGGTGTAAATGATGATGGGGACCTCTATGCCACTCACTGCTCATCGTGTGTTTGCTCGTATGCTTGGCTACTTTTTGTTTGATCAAATACAAGGATAATCTTTTTTACTATGTTTAAACTTTGATTAAAAACAAAACAAGTTTATCTTGAATTTTGAAGTGGGTGTAGTTATTTCACTCAAATAATGTTAATATTCAATACAAAGAATACTAAAAGTCAATTGGGTCATTAACCAAATAATCTCTCTCTCGATATATACATATGTATGTATATAGTGAAGTTAATGTCTAAAAGAAATTTTAGGATTAAGATAATGGGAGCATTATCATCATAAGTCATTCATATGTAAACAGATGTTTTCTTTACCAAATTTTTTTTGAAACAGTGGCTGGTCGCTGCTGGAAAATTCATATATTGTATTATCGCACAACCCATGTGAGAAAACCCACTCCGAGCATGACTGATTGTTGTCTGAAGCTATTTGGACACACCAAAAACAGAGCTTAGACTGGGTTGCCTCATTTGGGGTGACAAGTTTAGTGTTGAAACTGTTTTAAACTAGACCCCATATGTATTATTGTTTCTGGTTGCTATTACTGCGGCTAAGTATGAGAGGAGGAAGGAAGATACAGGCAGCCCAAGAGAAAATTACACTTCGGCGTTGGTTTTCAGCTTGAGATCCGTGGAGTTTAAGGCTGCAACCTGTGTCCCCATCAGTTATTAATCCATTCGTAAATCTAATTCTCATGTTAGTTTCACACATGAGAATTGAATAGTTACTGTTAAGGAACTCAAAAATGAGTGAGAGTGACTAAAACTATGATAATTTATTATTTAATTATTTCTACTAAGACTAATATGAGGACTAAAACTTAAATTAACTACAGATTAAATAATAATGGTCTCAAATTAACCTAATTCTTTGATGCAATGTTTACTACGCTTAGTGGGAAAATATATGTATCTTGAGCTTGTGGGGCAATTGAAGATTCGTTAAGATCCTAAACATAATCATCGTCCTAATCAATAATTAATCAAAGAAAAAAGATTGGATTTTGGGTTAGGGAGGCCCTTTTTAGTGGAGTAGAGGCTACTTTCTTCTTCTGCTTCTTTTGTGTCGTAATGAATCATGATAATGGGTAATCAAAAGGTCCATCTGAAAAGAAAGATTCAAATTTTCTTCTATTTTCTTCTCTCCCCTAAAGTTTGGCAGTGCTGGTTGAAGTTATAGCAATCCAAAGTTTGGAGACTAGAAACACTTTGAAACCTGTCAACCATAATTTGATAATTTTGGAAAAAGGAACAAGATCATGCATTGTTTGTGGCTAACATGGAGTTTAAACCAATGAACATAAAACATGTGGGGTTAAAAGAGGGGAAAATGGGTTCAAGTCACCAAAAAGTGTCATATCTAAGAGGATCTTTTTTATTTTTGGTGCCCATCTTAAGGATTTTTCCCCCTTTTCCTTTTATATTATATATAGATATATATATATATATACACACACACATATTTTGAAAAGGTTATCTTCATGGGTATGTGGAGGTAGGTGGTGTTTTGTATGATGAATAGAGGGACCACTGAGATGGGTGTTTATGGGGGAGAGGAGAGGAAGGAGAGAGGACAGAAGATGGCTGTATGGAGAAGAGGCAGATGGAAGAAAGGGAACACTGAGGGACAATTACGTGCTCCAATTGAAACCATTTGATTTGTATCACTTTTTTCACATCAAGGGATTAGATGGTCTCTTTGCGGGAAGGAGAGGCCTGGCGGAGTCTGTCGATGGGCGTCAACAGAACCAGAGTCCTCTGCAAAATCTGCCATCACCTTCCCCAAGCAATTACCATCTGCACCCAGTTCAACTCCAATATTCTCTCTTTTCTTTTTTAATGTTTTTTTTATATCATACTCTGAGGAGCTTCGAGAACCAGATTTCTCTTTGTTCCCTCTGTATTACATAATGGGATATTACTTCTCTGAAATCCATACATGCCCATGTCAGATTCCATGTGTCTCCAGCTCAATAAGTTTCTGTAGATGAGAGCAATGTGTCATGCAACACAACCAATGGACTAAACTTTGTGCAACAATTAAAAAAGAATTAAAGAATTTTATATAAATATCTTCAGATGATAAATTCAAAAAGAAAGAAAAGAAAAAAAAAAACATCCCTATCCAAATTAGCATCCTAATTTGGGAAGTGGGGTTCTCAAAATGTAAATCCCACCAGATTGTGTAATAGAAGACACTTCCTGGCGATCACATGGTGATTCCATTTTGCTTGCACCATTCAATCAGATTTATAATTTTACACCAAGTTGTTGTAGTAGTGGCATTCAGCAGAATTTTATTGATTGGAATCACAATAAACTAAAAGGAAAAGGCGGAAAAGAAAAAAGAAATACAATATCAAATGCAAGTTTCAGAAGAGGGAAAAGGATATGCAATAATGACAAGACCTTTCAGGATTTGACATTAATTAAAAGATTATACTCTAGAAACTGAACAAATTCATCGATTCCATCCTTCCCCTCCCTTTTTTTTCTTACTGGAAAAGGTTTGATGCTTAGCTAGGCAGGGATGCCCTGAAGTTACACTGTATGTATTCCTCCACTCCAACATCTCACCATGTAAAAACGCTCATAAACTTGTAACCCAGATCAATTTTTTACTCAACTTCTTAAGGGGAAAGATGCAATGTCCAGCAAGACTCGACTCCCAGTTTCTGTCAAAATCAACAGCCAGCTATATTATATGCTCACATGCATATACTCTGCCATCTCAAGCATACGTAGGCTACTGTTTTCCATCTCAATTATCATGTAAACTTACATAAGAAGATCCTTTTGACGACCAAAATGTCCAACAATCATTTCAGTCTATCCTGGTTACAGCCATGGAATAATCTTCTGGCATGTCCAGCGGTAATTATTACCTCATAAGAAAAAACTATCCATGAGGCAGGTCTTTCAAATGCTACTCTAGCCTATGGACAAGTATTGCATCTTTCAGTTGATACTGTTAAGTGCAGTAGTCAGAAGAATTTATTCCACATGCAGGTACAAAACGATATCCGTTTTCTTTTTTTTTTTCCCTCCGGAAGAAGAAAAGAAATTAGAAAATGAATACTAACATGAAGGACCTTCCATAAAAATCACACATCTTTGGCGAAAAAACAGAGCACAAAACATGTCTTCGTCAATGTTTTAATCAGCACAACTCACATAATAACTGTTCTCCACAAAGCACAATTAATCACATTCATACAACAAATTCAGTGTAATGCATGAGATTCCGATACCTCGTGATTGGACCTGCAAGGGACGATCACCTTTTGGCCTTTTAAAAATAACGATGTCTCCTAAGGAGGGAATAAATCCCATTCAACAGCAACTTATCTTGATCAGTAAGGAAGCAGCCTTTTAAGTAAAACAGGAATCTACACTTGAGACTTCATTTGCATTTCTGTAGCAGTAAGCCCCAAAGTAACATTTCCAGCACTGTGCTAATTGTCTTTTAGGAAATTCCCCACTTGAATTTCTAGATAGCTAACCTCATCAGCTATGTATATGAGAAAATGAATAGGTAGGTAAGCATCCATCATCTTCACATATCACATTCATCACCCCTGTTGTGACTAGAGACTCAGTTGCAGGACCACTTAAGCCCTTAAAGAGGAAACTCATAGAAGTTCAAAAACGCCCATAAAAATAGATATATTGTCGAAACTCGCACACAATTCAAAAATTAGAAACCTTTTCACCTAGCAATTCAGTACAATTACCAGGGTTACAATGAAAGGAAGGAAACTCTTTAGCATTGAAGTGTCTACAAAGAAGAAAAAACAAGAAAACAAAACTTCAAAAGAATTGAATTTAGTAATCAATAGAAACAGCAATAGCTATTTACAAATTCTATTCCAAAAACATTTGATCATTTGTATTGATAGATTGTCATGGGAAAAGAATAGATACACCAAAACACCTCGTATGAGGAGCAAAATACCTCAAAATGAGGAATAAATACCTCATGGTAGGGGCCTGGGTTTTTGAGCACTTGTTCGAGGAATAGCTAAGATTGCTATTATTCCACTCACTAAGGCTGCAATTGCTCCTACACCAAAGGCCGGCGAATTTCCACCACCAAACAGTTGATCCCATGGTCCGCTTCCCAAAGAGACCACCACCTGCTTCCAGACAACAATAATTTGTTACATGGGCTAAAAAATAAAAGTGAAACACATCCTGCCAACACATTCCTGTACAGAATCATCTGTACAATCTGCAATTTGCATAACAACACCATCACCTTATGTTGAACATTAATTTAGTACAAATAATACAAACAATTTCCAACCGACAACATAGAGAATGGCATTTCTTAATTGGCCAAAAGACCCGAGTGATTCCATGATCAATAAAGTATACATTCCTAATTACTTCAAATGAAAGTAACTGAGGTTATTTAATGTCTTGGCATATCTCAGTTCGAAAAGATGACACCACTGAAGAGTAGGTGGAGGGAGACTAATTTCTGAGGCATTGGGAGTAATTCTATGATCAATAAAGTACATATTCCTAATTACTTCAAGGAACTGAAAGCAACTGAGGGTCATTTAATGTCTTGGCATATCTCACTTCGAAAAGGATGACACTCATCCTCTACTGAAAAGTAGATGGAGGGAGACTAAATTCTGAGGCATTGGGAGCAATTATAATTGAAGTGGTCCAGACTTTCTTGTGAAAATTTCACAAAACTAAATGACTTCTCAGAAACAACAGCACAACATCAAATTTGATACTGAAATTGAGATATTGCAATCGCATACACCAGTATTTCAAATTTGTTTATTGATAAAACATATATATTATTTCTAATTAAAGTTTACTCACGTTATGTGAATTATTTCTGAAGTCTTAATCGACCATCGCGTCATACAAATTAACAAACTTTTCTTGTTCATGAGTTCATTGCCACCATGCAATCATTGGAGTTCCGCAAAAAAAAAACCTTAGTAATTAACGCCAGCTTATTTATTCATGGCTTGATAACTCAATATATCTGATGATCAATTGCGCACTCCACCTTCATGAGACAAGGTAAAGCTAGATCATGTGGCAAGTTAACTAATTGGAAATGTCCTCTTTGCCCATGACAGAAAATCACAATAAAGGATTTCTTTTCTTTGCTGAAACACAATGAAAAGATTTACCACTACATTGAAATTACTAATGCATAAATGCATGTAACTGCCTACAACAGTACTGTCTAATCACATTTGTCAGAAAAAGATCAACTGCCATTTGTTTGGACAGCATGAAAAAAATTTAATCCATATGAATGAGAGAGCAAGAAAATACCTGTGGGATCACGATGGCCAGATTAAGAACACCCATAGATAAACCTGCAAAAATTAGCCACCAAGATATGATGTCAGGAAACATCTGGAAGAAAATTTTCTGATATAATAACTAATTAAGTGCCCACCTTGGCCAAGGCCCAGAGACTCAATCCGTGTGGAAATCAAGGCATATGGAACACTGTAAGTGATCTGTAAAACATAAATTAAGCAGATTTATCAAGTTCTTCCAAATTGCCACACAAACATCCCAATGAGGATGTCTCATGAGAGGTGGAAAAATATCCAAGACGGGGCTAGAAATAAATAACTATAAATGTATGCATGTAAATAGTATGCCTTTGCTTGTTCATGCACTTGCACATTCATCATATTTTGACATTTTTAAAGACAATCTTAAACTCCTAACTTTGTAGTTTAAAATGTTTAACATGTCATTTGTAAAATTTTCATTTTTGCTAAGGTAAGACATTATATTTCAGTTTTTATTGCCCTTGTATTGATGTTCAATAAGGATATCATTTAAAACAATTGGCGTGTAAAATTCGCAATATTCCTAAAAGGTTTTCAAAAACAACTGGAGGGATGCAGATTGACCAATAGTAAATCCATAAGATGGTGGGGTGCTACAAAAGAAACCATAGGTTTGACTTTGAGAAAGGCCAAACTACAAGAGTTGAACATGTAATTTGTCATACGTATAAATTAGTGTTTAAATAAAAAAGTTAAAAATTTTAATAATGTGATCACAATAATATGAAAAACTTAGTGCTTACTAGGTTGAGGGCACAAAAGATACTTGATACTAGAAGCAATATATATACAAAAAGAAATACTGAGAGAGAGAGGTTTCGACAAGTCAGGGCATTGATGGACTCTTCCTTTGCTCCATCCTAATGGATGAAAAAGGATTATCCCCACTGACCTCCTAATGCAGAGCAAGGACATGGTCCCCAAACTTCAAGCTTGGCAGAAAGCCAAATGCAGTATTAACATTCAAACTACGGGTATCCCAGAGACAACAAATGAGCAGCTATGTAAGTTCCTGACTTGGGAGATCAAGTTGAGATTGAGTTGATGGGACCCTGGAACGGCGAGATTTATAATGCATAGTTCATGAATTAGGAATCTATGTTCTCTCTTCCAGCTCTCCTCATCCCACTTCGCCTTTGTTTCCTTATTTTTCGGTGATTGCATTGGTGGTGGAAGGGGGGTGGAAGATTTTATCCACTCCTATACTTTTATTTTCAAGTGTTACTCAAAAAATCTAACAGAAGACCAGGCTCATAATTTGGAGGAAATGAATAACTTACCGCCAAAGGAACACCAAGAACTGCAAAGATGAGAAGTGCAGTAATTACAATGCTCTCTGGAGGTGGATCTCTGCCATGTAACTCATAAGTTTTGCACAAAAGTAATTATGAGCATTAAAAGAAAGCAAAGAGCCATTACGATGTTTGAAATTCCCCCATAACAAAACAGCTCCCCAACTTCCTACAAAGTTTCTCCATTAGCACAGAAGTTATTCCAAGAACAACAGAATTCAACATGATGCCAAGAGCACCCATTCTGACACCATTGTTATAATTTTGACCTTGATTTGGCTCACCACCATATATCTCTCGACCCATCCAATCAGTATCAAAAAGAATAAATGGAAACCATCCAATCCAAGTCAAAGCTGTAACCAACAAGATTATCCATATTGTCCCTGAGAATATTTAAAAGTACCAAATAATTCCCAGAGGAAAGCTTCCTCAGCACTGCTTGACTCTCCAGGTCCCTCTTCAGCAAAGGGGGTTGATGAGCCTAAAGGCACTTCATGAGCAGCGGAGATACTTATATATGTAGTGATCACAACAAAAATAATATCTAGATAGAAAGCAGACTTGAGATTGGCACATTCAGGATTGCAGGCAGCAGTCACTGTAAATCGAAAGATTTTAAACCAACCACTATATGATCCAGTGGCATAGCCAAGAACATTGCCAACAGCCATGAATAGGGAGAAGTAAGCATTTGCCACTCGAGTCCTTCTGTGATCCTTTCCTGACATGATGAAAAGACATCCAAAGCAAACATCAAAATATTGCTATGTTTTCTTTTATGTGTTTTATATTTCAATATCCAGCAGTCACAAAAGAATGTACCATGACCAATGTACTTTTTCCTATTTTCTGTGAAAATCAATGAGAAATATAAATATTCTAGGCATCCCTCATGATATTTTCAGAACAAGAAGTGCGAAATGACTCGTTTAATAATCAAGTTTATTTCTTCTCATCACGTTGTATAGGAAAATGCTGAGCATGATTCCTGAAAAAGAAAAGATGTAGGCAAGGGCATGGATGAAAAGCAGAAATATGAAAGCTGCCAAGACATCACATGTTTTTTATCATCTTTGTGAACTAAAATTTTCAATTTGATACATAAAAATCTAATAACTTAGCAGTTTTTCTTTAGGTAAATGAAGAATTACTAGCAGAGAGATCTATAAGCATTAAATACACCATCTTGATACGCTAGGTGTACGGATCTGTTAATTATCAAAGCAGCTATTTTATTTTCTTATTCTTACTAAAGTATAAGCCAATATAAAAATGATCAGTCAATTACACATGAGCAGACAAAGCAATTGATTACAATCAAGCATGACCTTGTTACAACCTAGAACACCAATTCACATAAAAAAACTAGGGCACGATGGACTGACAGCTGAATCTAGACTAATGGACAATTTTTGCTCAAAGGACATCCTAATATAAAGTACTTAGAACCGTAAAAATTATCAACATAAAACAATTTATGCACCAAAGACATTATATGCTATCTCATCTATAGTGATATCAACTTGCATCTAAACTCTTTTCTTCTCCTCCATAACTGGAGATGTTAAATGAGTGATTAGTTCCAAAACGGATATTTTGCCATATTTTATTTACAAAAAAAATCTCAGGTCTTTAAACATACAATAAGGAAGATTAAATCTTTAACATGCTCATAAAATTAACTACGGAAGAGCACAGCCTACAACTCCATCAAGTAAGTGTTCAGGCATATAGTTTAAGATGCCACTTTAACCCAAAAGCTTAAACCTAAGACAGGATCCACTACTTTCTAATGCGAGACAATCACTTTTTAAGTATCTCACAAGAACAAGATGTTGCCTGAAACCACTATACTTCTATAAGAGATAAAGCAACAGAAAACAAAACTATAGTCTTCAGTTATGCTAATAAGGAAGACCCAAGAATGGAAGTATTCCAATGTCAGGAGATATTTATGTAATTATGATCTTTTGCGCATCACTAAAGATATTTATTTTATTTAGCAACTACTAAAGATATTTATTAGGAATTGAGATGGTTTATTATTCTTTATTTAGTTAGGATCCTATTTAGTTGCTATTTATTATCAATATTCTACAGATAGAACGATCTTAGAAACATTACGAATAGATGAGTGATACAGATATTCTCTCATACTTCAATGCCTAAATAACCCTACGCTTTTGGTTGATGATCTGAATCTTTGTGATTGTGGATTAGATTTTTTTCTCTATTTTTTCTCAACCGATTCTACATTATACTCCACTTTGCTACATTTCAGTCCTCCCAATGAGATATCTTCTACTGAATCTATGAAAAACTCCCTTGTATAAGCATAAATAAACATCTCTTTTCTGAAAGTCATCAAGCAGTTACTGCCAGCCACAAATGCCCAGTGGTAGGCAAGTAGTTTTCTTGAAAAAAATGATATACTACCAGACCTTAAAGACTGTATCACCCCTCGTTGTCATCAAAATTCAGCCAAAGACAATTAAACTCTATTCTAAACAGGCAAGTACAAGGATCTCCAAACTGATAGCAATTCCAAAAACTCCTAGGTAGAACAGAAGCACGAATAAATTTGTTTGATCTTGTTCAAGTTTATGAGAGTGCTTTGATAACATGCAAGCAAGACAAATAATCTAGAATTTGTTAGTGCTTTACTTAAATCCACCAGAAAACAGTTCTTAGAATCCATTAAGAAAATAATTACTCATTGAAAAATAACGAACAAATTTATTAAAGTTGACTCTACATTATCACAACTCATATGGCTCACATATATAGTGTAATACTCAAGTTCAGAATTTAAGTCCGGGATAATCAAATTATAATAATAAATAATTTAGAAAAATTTATTTTTTAATTTTTAATAAAAATTTTGAAGAAATATATGTTTTTGATGTATTTGAAAATAATTTTTAAAAGTCATGGTTAAAATATAAATAAAAAATGATCTATTTAAAAAGAAATCTAAAAAACTGGGACAAAAGTGAAAATAACATAAAAATGGCCACATGGACCGCCACGTCAGCAGCACGGCCGGTTGCCGTGCACCGCGTGGCAGACATGCGTCCACACGGGTGATCTGTGTACCAACAGATCTGACTGCTCAGATCTGCTCCCGCGCACATGGACGGCCCAGATTCGTTTCCCCTTCATGGCGATCAAACGATCCTAATTTTATCTGATCATACGATCCAGATTCGTTCCCCAGATAGGATTGATCCAACGATCGAGAATGGGTCACGTCTTCTCGAACGAACGACTATAATTTAATGAAAATGAGTATTTAGACTCCTCTTCCACAAGAAACCCTAACCCTAGCCGCTAGAGGAAATTGGAGAAGAAGAAGAGGAGCAGCCGGAAAGCGAACCAGTAGACCGGCCGCCGTCGCCGTCGTACCGAAGCCCGCTGCTGATGCTAAGGAGGTGAGTTTTTCCCCCTTTCGCTTCGAAATTCAATTCTAAGCCTCCCCACAACTATATCGGGGCCGAAAAACCAAAAGGAAAGCCAGAAACCGAGGGCAGAGCTTGGCCGAGCCGCCGCACCCGCAACCTAAAATCCCTCCAGTGAGCCCGAACACCCTTCCCGTTTCCTTCCATTTTCCGACCACTGTATTCCTTACTCTTTTCTGGTACAAGATGACAGAAGAAAATCCCCAACCGCGAGAGAGGAACAACAGAGCCACCGCACCAGAAAGCCACCCCGCCGGTAAGCTTCGGGTTTTTCCTTTTTCCGGCCAATAGAGGCCACCTAACCTCGAATTTTGCAGATTTTCACACAGGACCGGTCGAAACAGGCCAGACCGAGAGGAGACATCGTCGTAGGCAGCAGAGCCGGCGCTGTGCTGGAACCCTAAACCGGCCAAAAAATTCTAAAACCGTTATTTTTAGCCCTTTTTGAGTATTTTGAGATATGTGATGCGTGTTTTCGGTTTTCGCCAAAAAAACCCAAAAAATTCGGGAACCACCGGGAAGTGCAATGAAAAAGACAATGTCTCGAATACCAACCCGGGATAAGAATTCCTCATCCTTTCTTCCGTTACAGTTAAGTTTAAATAATAATAAACGTTGAAATTTGTGAATATTGGCAATCTTTTATTAACAAAATATAGGTCATCGATAAAGCCGATAACTGGTCAATATATAGTTTATTTGTCCTGCCTATTTATTTTTATGTTACCTAACTTGCTTACTATTACATCGTATGCTTTAATTTATTGATTTTAATTGTCTTCTCGTTCATTAGTTTACTTGACCGTTTTATCCATATCTGTTGATTGGTTTGAAATAAATGCTCTGTCAACATTTTCTTAGTGATTAAAGTACCAAATTATATTGCTGTTTAATTTTCGTTATAATGTCCTGAAATTATGAAACAAAATTTTTGTATGTAATTAATGATTAGTTTATGATGAGGATATGTATGTGAAAAGCTTACTAGGTGTCATGGGAAAGGGTGTACGGACTCGCTACATAGGGCAAACTCTACTGTGAATATTACTTCAGTCGAACGAGACTAAAAAGTCCAATACCGAAAGGGATTAGGAAGTATTTGTTCACCTCATACCGGACGGAGTATTGAGCCAGTGGTATGTTTGGCGCCTATTACCGGACGGGGTATGGGGACGACCGGTTATTTAATAGATTGGATATTGGGTTCACATGTAGAGGGAACCGCTATTGACCCCCAGAGATACCGATAAGTGAAAAGGTAAAGTTTGATTATTGTTGTTTCTTGTAATATCTAATGAATTAATATCTTGATTATTGCTTGCACAAGTTGTATTTGAGAACCTAAAATGTGAGTATGAACAACGTTTTTAAAATTAAATGAATTTACCTAAAAAGAAAAATGACTTCATTAGTTGTTTTATAATTTTTACCAACATTTGGTTTTCCGTATCGGTTGTTAAGTGTTGATATTCTTATTGGGCTAGTGTAACTCATTCTCCTTATTTAACCATTTCATATAAGGACGACCAAGATCCATATCCTGAACAATAAGAAAATTAGCGACTAAAAGTTGTCTCCTGTTTTCCATTAGAGTTGCACTGCGGAAGTCGACCCTATGGTTTTCTAGTTACATTTCTGTCTATTATTTTAATCTCCTTTAAGGGGCATTCCTGTAACCCTATTGGGCATTCTGATTTTAACTGTGCAATGAATGTAAACCTTAAATTCTCAATTGCTTCCGCTTATATTTCATTAATTCAGTGTTTCCATTCAATTAAATTTTGGGCTTTTATAGTTGGTATCAAAGTCGTATTCCTCGAAACTATTTGTTGCACAAAAGGTTAGAATCATTCAATATAACCCAACTCTCAACCCTTCGTTGTGAAATACAGGTATAAGAACATAAGGAGAGGAAGACCCTCATTGAACAGAGCAGCCCGGGATGAGTCGCTTCAAGAGGATGCCGATCGGCTCTTCGAGATGCTGGAGAGACTTATCTCTGCTCAGCAGGCGAGTGAAGAAAGGAGAGAGCTGCCTGATCCTCCTCCACCACTGCCACAGTACGAGCCACCCCCACAACGAGAAGATTTAGTGCCACCTCAATACAACCCTACTCCTCCACCGTATCATCCGACACCACCACAATACAATCTGGTGCCCCCACCATACAACCAGGTGCCGCCACAGGGTCACTCAGTCCCTCTCCAGCATAATACAGTTCCTTTTCACCAAGACCCAGCTCTACTCGTGATGGACCCAGCCT